TTATGTTAAAAAAATATAGAAGGATTCACAACTCCTTTTTTAGAAAATGTTTTCTCAGTACTGGGGCTTGAACCCAGAGCTTCCCGAATGCTAGGCAAGCACTGCAACAATGAACTACATCCTCAGTATCATTTTTTAATTCTACTTAATCTGGTTTCCTTTTATTTAGACCACTTCATAGAACTACATATATATAATGGTCCTTTGTTCAATGATGGAATCGATTTCTAGTCAGATTTGAGGTTGTTGAAATGACGCTGTCATGTAATTTGGGGGTAGGGGTTGTCCATTTTTTGTTTTTTGTTTTTTCTTGAGACAGGGTCTCCCTGTATCCACAGATGGCCTGGGAACTTACTATGTAGATCAGGCTGACCTCAATTTCACAGAGCTCCACCTACCTCTGCCTCCTGGATGTTGGGATTAAAGGTGTGTGCCACCATGCCCAACTACAATATTTATTTTTATTTTATGTGTGTGTTTTGCCTGCATGATTATGAGTACAACACATCCATGCAATGCCTGCAGAAGCCAGAAGAGGGTATCAGATCCCCTGGAACTAGAGTTATGAATGGTTGTTAATGGCTGTAATGGTTGTAATGGGTGTTAAGAATCAAACCCAGGTCCTCTGGAAGAATAGCAAATGTTCTTAACTGCTTGAGCCATCTCTCCAGCCCTCTTATAAGTACTTTAATACCTATAGTACTTAGCTGAGGTTGAAACCTTTTATAACTATAAGATGATGATTAGGGGCTGGCGAGATGGCTCAGCGATTAAGAACACTGGCTGTTCTTGCAGAAGACCTGGGTTTGAATCTCAGCACCTATATGGCGGCTAACAACTGTCCGTAACTCCAGTTCCAGGGGAGCTGATGCCATCTTCTGTCCCTCTCAGGCATTGCATGGCACAGGTGTACTTGCATACTTGCACATAATACACACATAAAAATAATTTAAAAATTATTTTAAATGGTTCTTTAGTGATTAGAGAACATGGGATTTTGAGAGCCAGCAAGGTAGCCTCTAATCCTAACTAAAAGAGAGAGAAAGAGAGAAAATGAAATAATATGAATGAGAATGAACATGGAGCTTGGGTATGAGATAGTCCTGGATTCCTGGTTTCAAGTCCAAGTCCTACCTTTATCACTCACTAATTACGTAAATTATGGCCAAGTTTCCTAACTTCTCTAAGCCTCAAATTTCTCATCTAGAAAATGAGACAAAGTAATATCTTAAGTTTTGGATATTTGATGTTTTGACTTTTTTGATGTTTTGATAATTAAATGAGATAATACATGTCAAATATTTAGCCTGCATGTCTGGCATGTGTCAAGTACTCAGTGTATGATTACAACTATAAGGAACTTACAGCTTACCTATCTCACTCAAGTTGCCAGTGGGTTTGCTGTTAGGTATTTTTTTGTATAGGCAAACAAATTCTCAAACTACTTCTTCTATTTTATGATCTCTAAACAACTGCCTTTTATACCACCCCCCAGAGAGAAGAACTTTTTTCATATGTCTATAGACTGGATGAGGTGTATTTACAAAAAACAAACAACAAATAAAATCCCAAACATTGTATTTATGAATTTTAGTTTTTCAAGTTTTGGGTAGAAAGCATGCAAAAATGAAGGATTTTACCTTATGCTGTGAGACTTCTCTTTGCTAGATGCAAACATTTACTCATCTCAGATAGGGAATCAAGGACAGACCAATCAAAATCCAGTGTAGCGAAGCATTGAGTTTATTGAGGTTACTTCTAGAAGCATGAGTGACTCACAGGCAACTAGCTGCATCATCACAAAGTCCACCCCAGCATGAGCGATGGATGACTCAGGACAGCTGCGGAGGCAGCTCAACCAGGCAGTCTCCTTTCCCTTGGGGAGGGAATCTCTGAATCCCGTTGTGTTTTATTTTCTGAGCCTTGTAAATTTTGTTTTCTCCTCCAGTCTTAAGGAGCCTCTTTCCAGGATAGAACAGTTCAATGAGGAACAAGTTGCACAAAACCTTATGTGCATGGTTATCTTAAATTACCCTCCTTTCCTGTCTCTTTCTCATGAAAAATGGCCCATGTTTTAATTTGCCTTTCATCCTTTTCCAGTTACTAACACCAGAACTCTTATTTAGGTGAATCTAAAGAAAGAGCAAAGTGAAAAGTCACCTCAAGGCAGAATTTGACGAAGGCTGCAGCACTGATAGCTTTGCTCCCTAAGCTCCCACTCCACGGCTGTCCTTCTGTCTTTGCCTAGTAACGCCACTGAATCTCTATTTGAGGATTTCAGGCTTTCTCTTTTTCAAATCTTGTATGAAATAATCAAACACACAAAGATTTTGTGGAATAGTGTAAAGAGGTCATACTGTAACATTTTTTTACCTTTTTAATTGACAGTTTGCATTCTATTTTATGATTTACCCAAGGTTTCAATATAAAAATATTATTGAAAAGTTACTTACATTGAGTAAAACTTACTTCCTTGAAAATGTGCCACATTTAATCTATATTCTGGCGTGTCCTACCCTAGTTGTAACCCACCTCAATTTGAGAAGTCCGGTGACTGTTAAGTTTTTTCCACATCTAGATATAAGGCTGCTCTTTGAAAAGGTGCAGGTAATGCTTTAGCTATCTCCCAGATGAGGTGGGTGGGAAACAGAAAATTCTCACAAAAGCTTCAAACCTTAATTTATTACTCATTCATCTTTCTATGTTTGTAGCATCCACAATCCAACTCCATAGTTGCCATCAGTTTGGCTCTACCTTAGGATCCCTTAGGCTGTAGCTAAGAAGAAAGACACGTGAAGGAAGCAAAACAGAAGGACCAATAGCAGAACTAATATAATTTCTTCTGCCTAATTTTTGTTGTTGTTGCTTGGTTGGCTTGGTCCTTTTGATTGGTTGATGGTTGGTTTTGTTTTGATTTGTTTGTTTTTAAGACAGGGTCTTGCTGTAGTCCCAGCTGGCCTGATTCTCACTATGTAGACCAGGCTGGCCTCGATCTCACAGAGATCTGCCTGCTGTTGCCTCCGGAGTGCTGAGATTAATGATGTGCACCACCATGCCCAGCCACTACTTTATATATTTTTTTAATTTTATGTGTATAAGTGCATTGCTGCATGTGAGTGCACTCATGTCATGCAATGCCCTTGGAGGTCAGAAGAGGCTGTCAGATACCCTGAAACTGGAGTTATGGACGGTTGTTAGCCACTACATGGGTGCTGGGAATCAAACCTGGGTCCTCTCCAAGAGCAGCCAGTGCTCTTAACTGCTGAGCCATTGCTCCAGCCCCCTACTTTATTTTTTTATAGGACTACATTTCATATAAAGTATTCAATAATTAGCATCAGAAGTGAGATATGTAGAAAGTATCAAATATGTACCAAATTTTAAGAATTGCAATTTAAAATACTTCATTAGTTTTTATACTGATTACATGTTAAAATTATGTTTGATGCATTGGGTTGCCTGTTATATTAAAATTAATGTCTTTTTTCAGTATGGAGGATTGAATCCAGTGTCTCATGCATGCTAGGCAAGTGCTCTTTCTACCGTGAAGTTACATCTCCAGCTCTTACCTATTTTTTTTTCTTTTTTTTAAGACAAGGTCTCGCTTTGTAGCCCTGGCTGGCTTCAAACTCATAGAGATTCCAAGTGCTGGGATTAAAGGCATGTGCCACCATGCCCAGACTTACCTTTTCTTTTTAAATATGGCTCTAAAAATACATAATTATTGGGGACTGGAAAGATGGCTCAGCACTTTAAGAGCACTGCCTGCTCCTGCAGATGACTGGGGTTTGGTTCCCCACACCCACTTGGCAGCTAACAGCCTTAACTCCAGTTCCAGGAGATGCAGCACCCTCTTCTGGCCCCTGTGGGCTTTGCACAATATAGATGCACTTACATGCATGCGGGCAAAACACTCATATACATAAATGATGAATACAAAAAATTAAATATGTATAATTATATATGTGACTCTCATATTGATCACAGCTGCTCTAGCCTCACTATACCCAAATCTTATTTTCCATTCTTCCCTTCAACAGCCATGTCTGAAGGTCAGGCAGGAGAATCTCTACCTAATTCACTGAACAGAAAGGGAGGCATGGCTACCTGGGTCACTGTGAGTCTTAGATACAGGTTCTCATTGGGCTCATAGAGCAGCTCCCTGCTTTGTCTCTTCATGCCTTTCTTTCTCACTACTATAGAAACAAGTTGACCACAAAGTAATACCAATTATAGTAATTATGCTTACTAATCACCACCAAACACTATAAACAATGAGCATATGTTAAATATTGATGGATTGACTTTGTTTCAGACTTTTTTCTCAGTTCATAACATTGTATATTTATATAGTTGGCCATTCAGATAGGATCATCAGTCACAACTTCAAAAATTAGAGAGATTAGTTTATGAAAATCCTACAAAGCACAAGTGCCACTTATTTCCTAGCTCTGAACTCTAAGAGCAATTTCCAATATGACTTAGTATTGTAAATTTAACATTTTAATAGCAAGATCAACAACATTCTATATGACTATATCTATTATAGTCAATAAATACCAATAAATGCTTATTGCATTTTGTAATCAAGGAAAGAAAACTTGTCAGGAAAAGAGAACACCACAAAAAGAAAATAAGCAATGTTCAGATTTGATTTTGAGTTCCAGAATAACCACAACAAAATGGTACACAAAGGAAGTACATCATTTACCCAAAGGAAATATAGCTTTTCTTAGCTCTGAACTCTAAGAGCAATAGAGCAATTTCGAAGATGACTTAGTATTGTAAATAACATTTTTTTTTTGGTATTTTTTGAGACAGGGTCTCCCAGTAGCCTCACCTGGACTGAAACTCACTATGTAGACCAGGCTGGCCTTGAACTCACAGAGATCCACCTGCCTCTGCCTCCTGAGTGCTGGTATTAAAGGTGTGTGCCACCACCCCCAGCATAAATAACATTTTAATAGAAAGATTATGACATTCTATATGACTGTGTCTAGTAGTAGCCAATCAATTTTTATATAGAAATGAATTAATGTGATAATTTTATATTTTATTTTTACAGGAATTTTGGGAAGCCAAAATGCGGCACAATCAGATGTATTGTGAGACACCACCTACTGTCACTGTTCATGTTAAATCAGGTTCAAATAGATCACATCAAACTAGAAAACCCATTAATCTGAAGCGTCCTATTTTTAAAGATAGTTGGCAAACATCTGAAAAAAATGCACATAATAACAAATCTAAACGCCCCAAAGGACCTTGTCTAATTATACAGCGTCAGGAAATGACTGCTTTCTTTAAATTATTTGGTAGGTGTAAGATATTTTAATTGTATAGTTATAAAATACTTAAAAATCAGAATGTAAATTTTTTTTTTTTTTGGTCTTTTTGAGATGGTCTCCCTGTAGCCTCAGCTGTCCTGGAACTGTGTGGACCAGGCTGGCCTCAAACTCACAGAGATCCACCTGCCTCTGCCTCCCAGTGCTGGGATTAAAGGTGTGTGCCACCACACCTGGCTTCTTTTTTGTTATTTTTTACAAAAAAATGTTAATGGATTTATTTGTGTATGTATATATGTGTTTGGGGGCACACACATGTCATGGCATACATATGGAGGTCAGAGGACAACTTGTGGAAGTCTGTTCTCCTTCCACCATGTGAGTCCTGGGGATCAAACTCAGGTTGTCAGTCCAGTGTGGTGCTAAGAACTTTTACCCACTAAGCCATCTCACTGACCCTCTTACCATTTTTATAGTGAAAACGTGCAAATTCATCTAACTTTCTAAACTGTTTAAATTCAAGTGTCAAGTGCAATTCAGGACATGAGTTTTGATTTAAAATAAAATAGTATATATAGGCTCAGATGAGCTACCACCCAGTTTGACTAGGCCTGAGGAAGTTTCCCAGGACTCTTACAATTAAAACCAAGCAAAATGTTAATGTTGGTCAACCTAGAAAGTTTGTTATATTTTAGGAATATTGTTGAAAGTTAATGTTTTAACAGGGCATAATGGTATATACCTTTAATCCCAGCACTGGGGAGGCAGAGGCAGGCAGATCTCTGTGAAATCTCAAAAACGACAGCAAAACCCAAAAGTTAATGTATTATCATCATTTTCATACAATGAAATTGAGTGATTTTATTCATTACACAAGATTACTTTGTTGGCCCAGCACTCGGGAGGCAGAGGCAGGCAGATCTCTGTGAGTTCAAGGCCAGCCTGGTCTACATAGTGAGTTCCAGGACAGCTGGGGCTACAGGGAGATACTTTCTAAAAAAAAAAAAAAAAAGATTACTTTGTTGGTACATTTCTTAACAAGCAGACAAATAGAAACTTATTTATATTATTATGCTAGCGAAAAAAAAAGAAAAATAGAAATGATAGTAAGAGATTAGAATAAGGAATAGTATAGGTGGGTTCTCAGTAAGAAATCAAGTACAGGGGCTAGAGAGGGCTCAGTAGTTAAGAGTACTGACTACTCTTCCAGAGGATCCAGGTTTGATTTCCAGCACCCAAATGGTGCCTAACAACCTAACTCCAGTTTCGGGGGATCCGATGCCCTCTTCTGGCCTCTGCAGATTTTATATGACACAGGTACACTTACATACATGTAGACAAAACATTTAGACATATAAAATAAAATTAAAATTTTATTTGTCTTTTTGAGACAGGGTCTCCCTGTAGCCCCAGCTGGCCTGGAGCTCACTATAATAAACCAGACTGGCCTTGACCTTGCAGAGATCTGCTTGCCTCTGCCTCCCAAGTGCTGGGACTGAAGGCATGCATCACCATGCCAGGCAAAAATAATGAATTTTTAAAAATTGAAAAAACTCTGCCGGGTGTGGTGACGCACACCTTTAATCCCAGCACTCTGGAGGCAGAGGCAGGTGGATCTCTGTAAGTTCAAGGCCAGCCTGGTCTACATAGTGAGTTCCAGGACATCTGGGGCAACAGGGAGACACTGTCTCAAAAAGACCAAAACAAATTTTAAAAACTCAAGCACATGCTGGTTGTAGAAGGTAGCAGACCTCCTTGTAGGGGAAGGCTATGTGCACTCAAGCAAGGTGGGTAATATGTAAAGAAAAAGTTATAGTGATTTCCCCCATTTGGGATCCAGGATGTTAATAGAAGTTTCCATTTTTCTTTATTAAGAGTGGAACAAAATCATTACCTACAAACTTTTTTTTTTTTCCTGAGATAGGGTCTCATATATGCCACACTGGCTTTGTATTCTTTATGTAGCCAAGGATGACCTTGAACTTCTTGTCCTCCTGCCCTCTACCTATCAAGTGCTGGGATTACAGGCATATGCCACCATGTCCGGTTTTACACAGGGCTGGGGATCAAACACTACAAACCGAGCCACATCCCCAACCCTTATCCACAAATTTTTTGGGTATCTCTAACTGGTCATGAGAAAATACCTGGTATATCTACCATTTTAGGTAATTTAAGAAATAGATATAGGCCGGGCATGGTGGCGCATGCCTTTAATCCCAGCACTTGGGAGGCAGAGGCAGGCAGATCTTTGTGAGTTCGAGGCCAGCCTGGTCTACATAGTTCCAGGACAGCCGGGGCTACTAGGAGACCCTGTCTCAAAAAGACGAAAAAAAAAAAAATACAGAAGTAACAAGACAAATTCTCAGGAAATCTTTATTCTTGGAACTTTCCAAATATTTATTACATTAGTAGTATTTTCTTTTTATTATTTTTATTTTATGCATAGAAGTGTATTGTCTGAATGTGTGTTAGTGCACCCATGTTGTGCAATGCATGGAGGTCAGAAGAGGGTGTTGGAATCCCCTGGAACTGGAGTTATAGACAGTCATTAGCTGCCATATGGGTTCTGGGTATTGAACCTGGGTTCTCTGCAAGAGCAGCCAGTGCTTTTAACCATTGAGCCATCTCTCCACATTGCTAATACTTGTAACGTGAATTTGCAGGTATGATGGCACATGCCTTTAATCCCAGTACTCAGAAGGCAGTGGGAGGTGAATCTCTGAATTTGAGGACTACATAGTGAGTTCCAGGCCAGCCAGAGCTACAGTGATGCCCTGTCTCGAAAAAAAAAAAAAAAAAAGGAAAAGAAAGAAAGTCTGGGGGCTGGAGAGATGGCGCAAAGCTTAAGAACACTGGTTCTTCTTGTAGAAGACCCGGGTTCGAATCCTAGCATCCACATGGCAGCTAACAACTGTCAGTAACTCCAGTTCCAGGGGATCTGACAGCCTCTTTTGTTCTCCGAGGGCACTGCAAGACACGGGTGCACTTACCTATACGCAGGCAATACACGCATACACATAAAAAAAAGTCTGGAAAAGATTTTGCTTTATTGCTTAAATGAAAGGGATTTTCCTAGATTATATTCTGATAACCACCAACATTTTAAGATTATATATATTAATGTTTTCAAATTAAAGGTTTTTAATTTACTTTTTGGATGTCATAAAGTTTTAAATTTTTGGTTCTAATAATCAGTTTTCTCAAAATTAAATGCTAATCCTAATACCTTTTGAAGTTATTTATACAAATCTGTTTACATTTGAAATTGAATAATAAGTAGAATAGAAGTAGAAAAGAGTCCAAAATGAAAATACTCTGGAACTTGAAAAGTACTTAAAACAGTATTGTTATTATTTCTTTTTTATCTATTTTTATTTTTATGTGCATGTGTTTTGACTGCCTGCAAGTGAACCTATGTGTGCAATGCCTACAGAGGCCAAAAGAGGGCTTCAGATCCTCTGGAACTAGAGTTATGGACAGCTGTTGGCTAACCCAACGTGGGTGCTGGGAACTGAACCTGGGTCCTCTGCAAGAGCAGCCAGTGCTCTTAACTGCTAAACCATCTCTCCAGCCCTTAAGTTCTTTCTTAGAATCTTAATTATCTTGTACCAGATTCAATTTCTACCTCTCATGGACTTTGCAAAGGAATGCAGAATGGAGTTGTCCAACATAGTGTTGGATATAAGGAAATACACACCATTCTTCTTTAAAGCTGAGCTATATACATAGTGAAGTAAATCAGATGGGAAGATGGCTAGTCCTTGCAATAACAAACATACTGAAAAACTGACTAGACCTTAGACAACAGTGACCCAGCCATCTTTGTTTCATTCTCTAAGCATCATTTGTACTCTTCTGATATAGAAATTATCTCTTCAAAAGACATTTTTTAAAAAGATAAGACATAGCTATCTTTTGTTCTAGATGATGATTTAATTCAAGATTTCTTGTGGATGGACTGCTGCTGTAAAATTGCAGACAAGGTAAATTTGGTAACAATGTAATCATAAACCATCATTGTTATGTTACTTGACCATCAGAATTTTTATAAGACGCTATATAAGAATTTTCTATTTTGCGGGGGGTGGTGGCACACACTTTTAATCCCAGCACTCGGGAGGCAGAGGCAGGCGGAGCTCTGTGAGTTCAAGGCCAGCCTGGTCTACATAGTTCCAGGACAGCTGGGGCTACAGGGAGACCCTGTCTCAAAAAAAGAGGTTTCTACTTTATTAAGGTTAGGAAAACAGCTAGCTTACATTGCTCCTTCAGAGCAGAATTGTTTCTTAAAAAATGTTTATTTGTGTGTGTGTTTGTCTGTGAGAGAGAGAGAGAGAGAGAGAGAGAGAGAGAGAGAGAGAGAGAGAGAGGGAGGGAGGGAAGCAGCATGCCACATCACGTGTAGAAATCAGAGGACACTTTGTGGGAGTTGGTTCTCCTACGATGTGGAACCTGGAGATCCAACTCAGGTTGTCAGGCTTGGTAGCAAGTGCCTTCACCCACTGAGCCATCTTGCTGGCTCCCATAAATGACATTCAGTCCAAATCTGTTTGAGAACAAGAATCATTATAGACTCAGTAACTTTTGGGGAGAGGGACACATCCTCACTTTTATCTAGCCCAGGCTGCCCTGGGCTCACTATGGAGCCCAAACTGACCTCACACATACAAAATTCACAATTCTACCTCAGCCTCCTAAGAGCTAGTTCAATACATTTTGATCAGAATTATCTTTTATTGGTGGGGAGAAAAAATACCGAGTCTCTATTAAGATAGTCTCTTATGTTTGAATGTTTTCTTAAGTAATTCAGATAAAATATCCCAATTATCTTTTTTGTTTGTTTGTTTTTATTTGGTTTGGTTTTGAGACAGTGGGCCTGGAACTCCCTATGTATACTAGGTGGGGCCTGGAACCCTCTTGTGTACACCAGGCTGGCCTTGATCTAACAGAAATAGCCTGTCTCTGTCTCCCAAGTGCTAAGACTAAAGGTGCATGCCATCTTTAAATTCTTAATTTTTAAAAAAATTTATCATCTCTTTTGTTTTTGTTTTTGAGACAGGGTCTTCCTGTAGCCCCAGCTGACCTGGAACTCGATATGTAGACCAGGCTGGCCTTGAACTCACAGAGATCTGCCTGCCTCTCCCTCCCGAGTGCTGGGATTAAACGTGTGTGCCCACTATGTCCACATTTTTTCATTTTATGTGTATGAGTGTATTGCCTACATGTGCATAAATGTACCCATGTCATGCAGTGCCCACGGAGGTCAGAAGAGGGCATCAGATCCCCTGGAACTTGAGTTAGGACAGTTGTTAGCCACCATGTGGGTGCTGGGAACCAAACCTGAGTCCTCTGGAAGAGTAGCCAGTGCTCTTAACCACTGCACCATCTCTCCAGCCCCCCAATTATCTTTTTAAACTCAAAATTTTTAGTATATTCAACAGGCTTTAATAAAATTGCTATAACAATTCAATGACATAAATAATCTCAATTTCCATGTTACCGACCTCACTGTTGGATACTAGCCATGCCTGTCACAGACTATGAGAAACACTAGACATATAAATTGAGTCATTTCATAAAATAAATGGTCATACTCTTAGCATACAAGGAAATGGACTTGTGACATTTTGACACACGTATATCATTACACTTAGTCCTCCCCCCTGCCACCATTGCCCCCATCTCCCTTCTTCCCAGTGATCTTATAGGGCAAAATTAACTTATCATGCTCTTTATTTAGATATTAATATTTTATAAACTGTCTAGTTTATAAACTGTCTAGTTATAAACAGTGATATTATTTGCTTTTTTGTGGGGTGCGGGTTGGTTTGTTTTGAGGCAGGGTCTCCTTATAGCCCCTGTGGGCCTATAACTCTGTAGAAGGCCTCAATCTCACAGAGATCTGCCTGTCTCCGCCTCCAAAGTGCTGGAATTAAAGGTATCTGCCACTACAGCCAGCTGTTCTTTGCTCTTTCAAAAATATTTTATTTACTAATTTTAAGTGTATGAGTTTACTGCCTGCATATATGTAAGTCCACCCATGTCATGTAATGCCTACAGAAGTCAGAAGAGGGTGTTATATCTCCTGGAACTGCAGTTAGTTATTAGCTGCTGTGTGGATGCTGGGAACCAGACCTGGGTCTTTTGCAAAAGCAGCCAGTGCTCTTAACTGCTAAGCCATGTCTCCAGCCCCTCATCTTTGCTTTTTTGTAGATAAATTTCAACATTTGTTTGTATGCTTTTGAGTCAGCTGAATAGTTACTATTTTACTTTTGCAAATACCATTTTAGACTGGGCAGTCATACAGAAAGTTCAATATAACTTCATATAACAATAAAAAATGTGCAAATCAATAAATGTTTGGAAGGTTAGCTTGTGACTAAATAATATCAAAGTTCAGAAGGCTTTCATTTAATACTTGAGAGGACAAAGATAAATGAGTTTAAATTTTTTAATTTTGGGAACTTTTAGAATATTTAAAGCATATACAACTTTAAGACAGAGACCCTCTGGGGCTGAAGAGATGGCTCAGTGGTTAAGAACACTGGCTCTTCTTGCAGAAGACCCAGGTTTGAATCCCAACACCCACATGGCAGCTAACAACTGCCCGAAACTCCAGTTCCAGGAGATCCTACAGCCTCTTCTGTCCTCTGCTGCCATTGTATGACATGGGTGCTCTTACCTACATGCAGGCAATACATGCATACACATAAAATAAAAATAATAAATAAAGTATTTTTTTAAAAAGACCCTTCATGTGCCTCTTATCGAGGTAGAGTAATCAATTCATGGCCACTCTTGTTTCTTTTAACCCTTCTCCCCTGGAGACTAGATTGTTTTGAAGCAAATCTCAGGCATCCTAACATTTTATAATAAACATCTCATAATATGAGACCAGCAAGATGATTAAGCTGGTAAAGGCACTTACAAGTTGTCCTTTGCAGGGCAAGGTGATGCTGGCCTTTAATCCCAGCACTTGGGAGGCAGAGGCAGGTGAATCTGTAGCCTGGTATACATAGCTAGTTCCATCTAGGGCCTTAGGGAGATCCTGTCTCATAAAACAAAGAGCAAGTTGTCCTTTGACATCTCTACATCTGTGTGGTGGTGTGACACACACAAATAAGTAAATGTAAAACTTCATAAAACACTTGCAGTGTCTTTAACACTTCAGATTAACGGAATGCTGTATGAAATACCCAGTTTCTTTGGCATTGTGGTGATCCTTAGAGTTTTACTGCATTAAAGTTGGTAGACAGCAGGGGACACTGTTTTGAAAAGTAATTAGCCAGGAATATTGTATCTTTACAGTATTTCAAGAATCCTTTACTTAGAAATTAAGGGAAACTTGGAATCACTTGTACAATCCCATGACTGTACAATGAAATAGTGTGAGAGAGAAAATAATGCATTTGTATTTATAATTTGTTGCAAATTGGAACTGTCACATCTTGGCATAGGTTCTAAAAGGCTAACCATATATCTTTCTAATAATATATTTTAAATGTTTTCTGCGTGAAAACTGAGCCCTGCTATCTAACTTCTGAAGTCATTCTTTTTTGTTTGAGACAGGGTCTCCCTGTAGCCCCAGCTGGCCTGGAACTCACTATGCAGACCAGGTTGGCCTCAGTCTCACAAAAATCTGCCTGCTTCTGCCTCCTCAGTGCTGGGGATTAAAGGCTTGTGCCCCCACACCTGGCCTCCCATGAAGTTATTCTGAAAGATTATTTTTAAAAGTAAATACAGGGGTTAGTGGGTATAACTCAAGTGGTAAGAATGTTTGCTTAGCATGCATAAGCATCAAGCTTCTGGGTTTAATTCCTAGAACCGAAAAGGGGTGGAGATAGGGGGAAGGGTATCTACAACTAAAAGAATTCAGAGAAAAATTTAGGAATCCATTTAGTTAAATATAAAAAACTGTTAGGAACTGTTTCTCATACTGTTCACATCAATTGATTAAAGGAAACAAATATAAGTACTCAGGTGATTGTATAAGAATATATAATGCCTTATTTAGCTTATTCATCAGAAAAGTTTAAAGTCAACTATTTTATAGCAGTTGTATTTATGAAAGCAAAACATTAATAATTTCTAACTTTTCCTTATAGTATCTTTTGGCTATGACCTTTGTTTATTTCAAGAGAGCTAAATTTACTATAAATGAGCACACCAGGATAAATTTCTTTATTGCTCTGTAAGTATGCTTTTTACTAAATGTTTTTTGTATAACCTAAAATACATATAATTTATAATTTAAAGCAAAACCAGATTACAACTTTGTGGATTAAAATTACTAAACCTTCCTGTATGAAAACTACGTATTTTTCACTTTAATAGGATTTTTTTTATGTTCTTTTCACTGACCTTATCATGCTATATGCCCAAGATTTGTTGTTCAGTATTTCAATTCAGGTTGTAATTGTATCTTTTACATCTTTCACAGTTTGTATATAAATTACCCTAATTCTTCTCCTTATGACTTAATACTTTTTTTTTTTTTTTTGGTCTTTTTGAGACAGGGTCTCCCTGTAGCCCCAGCTGTCCTGGAACTCACTATGTGGACCAGGCTGGCCTTGAACTCACTGAGATCCGCCTGCCTCTGCCTCCCTAGTGCTGGGACTAAAGATGTGTGCCACCACACACCCAGCTTATACTTTTTAAAAGTCAGATTATTCTCTTTTAAACTGCCAGTTAGTGCCGGGCATTGTGGCACACTTGGGAGGCAGAGGCAGGCAGATCTCTGAGTTCCAGGGCAGTCAGGTCTACATAGTGAGTTCCAGACCAACTGAGGCTACAAGGAAACCCTGTCTCAAAAAAAGAAGACCAAAAAAACAAAAGAAAAAAAACCCTGCCAGTTAGTATATAGTAAAAATTATCATCATCATACTATTACATAAATTGAACATTTGTGGAAAACATTTCAGACTACTCTTTGCTGGTCTATGCTTAACATATAGGAATTATTCATGTTTAATAATTTTAATGTTCACTGATGGTTTCATTGAAATGTTTATTTTCCAGTTTTCCATTGATATTTTATATTAGTGAATGATAGATAGCTTTGTTATCTGTTGAATAGTTTTAATGGTACAGTTTTCCAATTTATAGGTCATACTTTAGCTAGAAAAAATGTAATTTAAAAAATGGTGTGTAATTTAAGGGCTGGATATATAGATTAGTGGTAGAATACTTGCCTAGTATTTCCAAGGCCCCAGGTTTAATCCCCAGCCCTGATTTAAAGAAAAAGAAACAAAGGAGCCAGGTGTGGTGGCACATGCCTTTAGTCCCAGCACTTGGGAGGCAGAGGCAGGCAGATCTCTGTGAGTTCTCTGTGAGTTCAAGGCGAGCCTGGTCTACATAATGAGTTCCAGGCCATCTGGGGCTCAGAGAGACCCTGTCTCAAAAAGACCAAAAAAAAAAAAATGAAAACAAAAAAAATGGAAAAAATTAAGAATTTAAGAATGTATTTTGGAGGTTGTAGCATATCTCGAAGATAGACTACTTCTCTGATACACATAAGGCCCTGGGTTCAATTCCTAGCACCAAAACTAAATAAAGGAATACATTTTTCTACCTGTACTTGGATATAATGCTGCAGCTTGGAATTTATCTAATTTTAAGTGCTAAACTAGGGAACTATATATAAAAACAAGTATTTGAGCAATAGCTGTATGCACAAAGGAGTAACTTTTACTCAAAGTTTATTAATTCAATATCAGAGTTACTAAAGAAGCAAAACAAAAAGCCAGGCATCTCTGAGTTTGAGACCAGTCTGGTCTACACAGTGAGTTCCAGGCCAGCTGGGGCTACAGGGAGACCCTGTCTCAAAAAGACCAAAAAAAACCAAAAAACAAAAAACAACAACAACAACAAAAAAAAAACCAATCTATGCATTAATTAAGAGATTAAGAGACAAATTTTCCAGGACATAGGAAACATGAACTCAAGTTAACTTTTGGTAATGATTGCTAAACTGAAAGAATTCAATAGTAATAGGTAATACTATTATCTGCAAAGCACCACATTTTATATATATTTATACATTTAGTTTTCCTCATGAAATGCATTTCTTATTATCACTGTTTTATGGGGGAGAAAACAGACTTAGGAAGATTAAGTACTTTAAGTACTTTGAGAAATCACAATAGTTAGTTAAGGAGGTCAGGTATTGTGGTATACACCTATAATCCCAGCATTTGGGAGTCTGAGGCAGGAGGATCATGAATTTGAGGCCAGCCTGGGCTACATAGGAAACTCTTGACTCAAAAGTATAAGAATAAAAATGAGGAACAGAACTAAGGTGTAAATTTATGTATGATTTTCCAAGGGCCAAATTCAGTCATTGACATTGTTAAGTTGCCATTACATAGCTTCAGTATTGTACTATATCTGTATTTAATATAATACTTATTTTGTAGTTTTTTCCCCTGCCTGAGAATTAAAAACAAATCACAAGAGGCTTTTGTTTAAATCCAACTAGAAGCCTGAAATTGGATTTGTTTCACAGTTATAACCAGTATAACACTGTTTAGCTTTGACTATGTAGTAGTCTGTAAGCTTGCACTGCTTGCTGCATTATCTGTAGTAACATGAATTCTAATATCCATTCTCTATCTAATCATGCTTTTCTGTAGGCTCACTCAGTAGTTCTTTTCATTAGATATTTCCTGATAGTGACAGTTGTAAAGCTCTCTCTCTCCAATTTTTTGAGACATGGTATCATATAGTTCAGGATGACCCCAAACTTCCTATGTAGCCAAGGATGTTCTTAAACTCCTGATCCTCCTGTCTTTACCTCCTAAGTGCTGAGGTTTCAGGTGTTTGCCACCCTGCCCAGAGACATTCTCAGTTTCTATTATCATCCTTTCATATTCCTTTTTATAGTTATTACTTTCATGCCACTCTTAACTATATAGCATGAGCTCAAGGACAGCCAGTTCAAGTTTAAGACAGTGAGACCCTGACTTAAAATAAAAAGTAAAAAGAGAACTGGAATATAACTCAGTGATAGAGCACTTTCCTAGTATGTACACTGCCCTGGGTTCAATCTCTAGTACTGCCAAAAAAAGAAAAACTAACGGACTCTGGAATCTTTGGTCTTCCTTTCTGGCTAAGCCTTTAAAAAAACTGTTATGGAACCAGAGTGATGCCTCAGTGGTTAAGCAGAAGACCCAGGTTCAAATCCCAGCACCCACACAGGGCTAACAACCTTCTGTAACTCCAGTTCCATGGGATCTGATGCCCTCTTCTGTCTTCCACAGGTACTGCATGACACAGATGCACTTACATGCAAATATAACACTCATATGAAATAAAAATAAATGAATAAACATTTTGAAAAAGCTTCTGATGTGAAAATACAGTTTATGAAATTTTTAAAAAGTTGTTGTGGGCCAGGCATGGTGGCACATACCTTTAATCTCAGCACTGGGAGGCTATGAGATTAAGGCCAACCTGGTCTACATAGTGTGTTTCAGGCTAGATGGAGCTACACAAAGATCTGTGGCAAAAAGAAAAAAAATTGTTGTGGGCTGGAGAGATGGTTCAGTGGCTCTTGCAAAGGACCTGGGTTCAGTTCCCAGCACTTACATAGCTAACAATCATCCGTTCCTGGTGATATGATGCCCTCTTCTGGCCTCTGTGGGCATGCATGTGGTGCACTTACATACATGCAGGCAAAACACTCATACACATAAAATTAATAAAAATTTGTTGTAACCTGCCAGGCATGATGGTGCACATCTTTAATCCCAGCACTCTGGAGGCAGAGGTAGATGAATCTTTGTGAGTTCAAGGCCAATATGGTCTACATAGTGAGTTCCAGGCCAGCTGGGGCTACAGGGAGACCCTGTCTCAAAAAGACCAAAAAAAAAAAAAAAAAAAAAGGAATTTTGTTGTTGTTGTAAACTACTTGAGATTAGATGAGCTTCCTTGATTTGAAAGTTACTATCTTTTGCCAGGTGTGGTGGTGCATGCCTTTAATCCCAGCACACAAAAGGCAGAGGCAGGCAGGCGAATCTCTGAGTTCAAGGCCAGCTAGGGTAGGGGAGACCCTGTCTCAAAAAGACATATATATATATATATCTTTCAACACTAAATTTTTATATTTATGAGTATATTGCCTGCACGTATGTAAGTACACCCATGTCATGCAGTACCCATGGAGGCCAGAAGAGGACATCAGATCCCCTGGAACTGGAGTTACAGACAGTTGTTAGCCACTATGTGGGTGCTGGGATTCAAACCCGGGTCCTGTACAAGAGCAACCAGTGCTCTCTCCAGCCCTCAACAAATAACGCCTGTCCTTTTTTTTTTCTTTTGGCCTTTTTGAAACAGGATCTCCCTAAAGCCCCAGCTGGCCTGGAACTCACTATGTAGACCAGGCTGGCTTTGAACTCACAGATGCACCCATTTTGTGCAATGCCTGTGGCAGTCAGAAAAGGGTGTTGGATCCCTTGGAATTGGAGTTACGGACAGTTGTTAGCTGCCATGTGAGTGCGGGGATTTGAACCTGGGTCCTCTCCAAGAGCAGCCAGTGCTCTTAACTGCTGAGCCATCTCTCCAGCCCCAAGACCCAAAAGATTTTATTTATTTATTTTTTCTTTGTTTGTTTATTTATTTTTGGTCTTTTTGAGACTGGGTCTCCCAGTATCCCAGCTGTCCTGGAACTCACTATGGAGACCAGGCTGGCCTTGAACTCACAGAGATCCGCCTGCCTCTGCCTCCCGAGTGCTGGGACTGAAGGCCTGTGCCACCACACCCAACTAACCCAAAAGATTTTATAAAAGATTAAAAAACAAAAAGATGGGGCATGGTGGTAGACACTTTTATCCCAGCAATCAGGAGGCAGAGGCAGGTGGATCTCTGTAAGATGGAGGCCAGCTAGAACCCAACAAGGTCTAATATCATTTATGTACTGATAATCCAGTTGTATTCTTTTTAGTTAGCTACTCTTCCTGTCCTTACCCATTTATTTTTTGGGTTGTTGGTCTTTGTTAGGTATCTGGCTAACACGGTTGAAGAAGATGAAGAAGAAGCCAAGTATGAAATTTTTCCATGGGCTTTAGGGAAAAACTGGAGAAAATTGTTCCCTAATTTCTTAAAGTTAAGGGACCAGCTTTGGGATAGAATTGACTATAGGGCTATTGTAAGCAGACGATGCTGTGAAGAGGTAAGGATTTTAAAATACTATATATAATCTTTTGTCTTTAATTTTTCTTGATTTATTTTTTTTTGGTTTGTTTTTGTTTTTGTTTTTGCTTTCTTACTATTTTGGTGCTCACAACCACCTACGTTATCTTCCTCAGTCTTGGGATACAATATGTTCTTTGATTCTCATTCTGTCTCTCTGTCTCTCTCTGTCTCTCTCTGTCTCTCTCTCTCTCTCTCTCTCTCTCTCTCTCTCTCTCTCTGTTTCTCTCTCCGTCTCTCTCTGTACATGTATAGAGAGGTCATCAGCCTTGGTCATTATTATAAGTGAAATCTCTGTATTACCATGTTTCTGTTTTAATCATCATAAGCATTAAAACCTGAAATTTCTGAGAAGACTACAATAGTATTCTTTTTTAAAATATTTTTTATTTTTTTTATTTTATGTGTATGCGTATATTGCCTTCATGTAGGTAAGTGCATCCATGTCGTGCAATGCCTACAGAGGACAGAAGAGGCTGTTGGATCCCCTGGAACTGGAGTTACAGATAGTTGTTAGCTGCCATGTGGGTGCTGGGATTCAAACCTGGGTCTTCTGCAAGAACAACTAGTGTTCTTAACTGCTGAGCCATCTCTCCAGCCCCTACAATAGTATTTATTGTAGTGTGCTTCTCCTGTCTAAAACATCACTAGTATATACTAAAACATTCTATTGAGGACTATACTAAAGCTATAGTTGAGTAATAATTTCCACTAAAGTAAATGAATTTTCAGTTCCCAGGACTAAAGCCAACAGCATGGTATATAATTTAATACTTTTTTCTTTTGGGGGGACACGGTCTCCCTGTAGCCCCAGCTGGCTTGGAACTTCCTATGTTGACCAGACTGGCCTCAATCTCAGAGAAATCCTCTGCCTCTGCCTCTGCCTCCTGAATACTGGGATTAAAGGAGTGCATCACCATGCCTGGGTAGATATCAGATTTAATTTAGATAAACTATCTTATTTGTAAAACAGTTATTTTACTCAAATATTTGGGGGTCTTGCTAAAATTAACATCTGGAGTAGAAAATTAAGTGCAAGTAACAATTACTGTAAGCTCTGTACTTGTTCAGAATTTTTGAGAAATTCAGACAATTCTGTATTTAAATGAAATCTTGTCCAGTTAAATGGTCATAGGCCAAAGGATCCAAAACTAATGCTTCGTGTCAAAGTTGCATAAAGATTTCAGTGATACATCACAGAGTTTTTTCCCAGAACTAAAGTTGTTATTTTTTATTTTATTTATATTATGTGTATTGTCTGCATGTGTGTAAGTGCACCTGTGTCATGCAATGCGCAATGCCATAGATGTCAGAAGAGGGAGTCAAATTCTCCTGGAACTGGAGTTATGGGTGGTTGTTAGCTGGCATGTGGGTTCCTCTTGTAAGAGAAGCCAGTACTCTTTTTTTAAAAAAAGAGTTATTTAATCTTTTTTTTTTTTTTTTTTTTTTTTTTTTTTTTTTTTTTTTGTAGCCCCAGCTGGCCTGGAACTCTATGTAGACCAGACTGGCCTTGAACTCACAGAGATCTGCCTGCCTCTGTCTCCTGAGTGCTGGGATTAAAGGCATCACCACCACTCCCAGCTGAGAAACAGGTACTCTTAGCAGCTGAGCCATCTCTCCAGCCCCCCCCTCTTTTTTATTTTATGTATATGAATGTTTTGCCTGCATATATGTAAAGTGCACCACGTGTGAAATGCCTGGGGAGGTCAGAAGAGAGCATCAAATCCCCTGGAACTGGAGTTACAGATGATGATTAACCACCATGTGGGTGCTGAGAACTGAACCTAGGTCATCTGCAAGAGCAGCCAGAACTTATAACTGCTGGCTGAGCCATCTCTTCAGCCCTTTGATAACTTTATTAATGGGCTAAGATACAATTGCATATTTATAAATTGTTACTCAGGAGGCAGAGGCAGAGGGATCTCTGAGTTGGAACCCAGCCTGATCTACAGGCCAGGCAGGGCGACATGATGAAACCCTGTCTCTAAACAAAGGATTGTTGACTTTTGGAGGACATCTAAGGATTCAGAAATAACAGAAGTGAGAGGGAAAAACAGTGAAAGATTACACAGCAGGCCAAGCCTCTACAAAGTTTAATTCAATGGAAAAAAGATGAAAAATTGCATGTACAAGCCTTCCAAATTAATGGATCATCATTTAAAGTGAATGTAATCCAGTTTCAGGGTATTAAAAGAATCCTTTAACTTTTAAAAAAAATATTTATTATTTTTATTTTATGTGTATTCATGTATTGCCTGCATGTAGGTAAGTACACCCATATCGTGCAATGCTGGCAGAGGTCAGAAGAGGCTGTCGGACCCCCTGGGACTGGAGTTTCGGACAGCTGTTAACTGTCATGTGGGTGCTGGAATTTGAACACGGCTCTTCTGCAAGAACAACCAGTGTTCTTAACTGCTGAGCGTCTCTCCAGCCCCTCCTTTAACTTTTTTTTTATGTCTCTACTTCCCTGGGTCCTGTGGATGTTGTGGAGCATTCCTGTAATCTCAACATTCAGGAGGCTGAGGCAGGAGAATATTAACTTCAAAGCCAGCCTGGCTGCATAAATAGTGAGATTCTATCTCAAAAAAGAAAAGAGTGGATAATTTGCATAGCTATTTGCTATTATCCTTAAGATAATTTGCATGGCCTTGAGAGTGACAGTGTGCCATATTTGAACGTTCTAATTTTTTTTAAAGTAAATGCTTTAGGGGGGCTAGAAAGATGGTTCAGTGGTTAAGAGCATTTGCTGCTCTTCCAGAAGACCTGTACTCAGTTCCCAGCACTCATGTCAGGCAGCTCGCAACCACCTGTAACTCCAGCTCCAGGGGATCTGATGTCTTTTTCTGGTCTCTAAGGGTAACACATGTGCATGCACAAACAAATAATAAATCTTTGTTGTTGTTTTAAAAAAGGTAATGTTTCAGGCTATGTGGGATACACAGTTTAAGAACGGGCACCAGAATCAAGACTCTGGTACTGGCAGAACCTTCCCTCATGGCAGACCACCCTCTCACTCTCACATAGATGATTAGCATTTTAACTGCAGCAGAGTGCATACTATACTGTTGGCATCAGACTATGCAGACCATGAAAGAGCCAAAGAGAATGGTGTGGCTTAATGGCATATGTGAAAAGGACATGCCGGCTGTGGTATCCCACACCCTTAGTCCCAGCACTTGGGAGGCAGAGGCAGGTGGATCTTTGTGACTTCAAGGCCAGCCTGGTCTACATAGCGAGTTCCAGGCCAGCTGGGGCTATAGGGAGAACCTATCTCAGAAAGACAAAAAAAAAAAAAAAAAAAAAAAAAAAAAAAAATTGTAGGGAGGTAAAAATTATGTGTTTGGACTTAAAGAAAAGTTGAGACTTAGGCTGCAAAAAAGAGGAAATAATCATTAGATTATAGCTAAAGTATTGCATTTAGTTCTGCATATCACACTTTAAGAACACTGATCACCATCTCTCTATCCTGAAGAGAACAGCTATAATAGAACCTGATCTTAATAGAATTTCATGTGTGGATAATAAAAAGCACCAGAGATTTCTAATATGAAAGAGAAGCTTCATGAAGCTTTCTGTTTTCAAATAAAGGACCACAGGGGGACAGGAAATATATCTTTTTTTTTCAGTCTGATGTGACGTTTTTAATAAAACCAGAAAATTAAGAAATCTGAAAAAAGCTCAATGTGAAGAATATTCTAACAAATATTTGAAAATAAGATAGATTATTTCAAAGGAAGTGCTTCCTGTTACTGATGACTTCTTTTAAAAAAAGGGGCTGATTTTGTTATAAAGGCTTCAGTTAAACCTAATGACACTAAAGTGCTTTAAAACTTTAAATTTTGAAAGTTCACAGTTGTAAGCTTTTGCTGCCTAAGCACTTGCTGGGCAAGTTAGGTTATTTTTTTAATGCTTGGTGGTAGAATTTGCTCATTAAATATAAACTAACAAGTGTTTAGTAAGTATCTACCATATGGGGTATTTTGTTTTTGTGTTTGAGACATGGACTCACTATAAGCCCTGGTTGGCTTGGAACTTGCAGAGATTTGCCTGCCTTTCTTGTGATAGCTAGGATTAAAGGTGTATGACACTGTGCCCAGTGCTATATTAGCTTTCTTGGGGGTGGGGGTGTTGAAACAGGATCTCCCTGTTGCCCCAGCTGGCCTGGAACTCACTATGTAGACCAGGCTGGCCTTGAACTCAGAGATCCACCTGCCTTGAGGCTGGGAATAAAGGCATGTGCCACCATGCCTGCCCTGTGCTACAGTGCCTGCAGAGGTCAGAAGAGGGTGTCAGGGGCTGGAGAGATGGCTCAGTGGTTGACCCGGGTTTGAATCCCAGCACCCACATGGCAGCTAACAACTAAGTTCTAGGGGATCTGAAGCCCTCTTCTGTCCTCCATGGGCATTGTACAACATGGGTGCACTTACATACATCCAGGCAATACACACATAAAATAAAAATAAAATTTTTTAAAAGAGTGTATCGGATCCCCTGGATGGAGTTAAAGACAGTTGTTAGCTGCCATGTGGGTGCTGGGAATCAAACCCAGGTCCTCTGCAAGAGCAGCCAGTGCTCTTAACTGCTGAACCATCTCTCCAGCCCTTGTTTTTTAAATTTTTAAATTTACATGTGTGTCTGTGTTTCTGTGTGTGACTGTGCAGTACAAGCATGGGGTGCCCAGCAAGGCCAGGAGAGGGAGTCAGATCCCCTGGAGCTGGAGCTAGAGGACATTGTGAATTGCCTTATACAGGTGCTTGGAATTGAACTCAGGCCCTCTTTAAGAGCAGTAAGCACTCTTCACCATGGAGCCATCTCTCCAGCCCCTGATGTGATGTTTTGTTACATGAATGTACATTTGTCAAGTTAAACATATATACTCAGGGCTGGAGAGATGGCTCAGTGGCTAAGAGCACTGACTGTTCTTGCAGAAGACCTGGGTTTGAATCCCAGCATCCACATGGCAGCTAACAACCATCAGTA